CACGATTGCTATCCCACTCGACACGGGTTCAAATCTATGTGTTCTAGTCAGTAACGTATTCACACAACGTGTTTTTTACGAGCTGTCTTTTTACGAGTTGTCTTCGTTTACCCAAAAAAAAAGTGAAAAGATAAAATCGATAGCAATATTTTAATGCAACCAAACAGACAAAGACTAAAAAGTAGAAAATAATAATCATTAAAAAAGTTTTTAAAAAACGTGGGGCGCCGTGATTTTCTTACAGTTTCTAATACTGTTGACTCTCTACAAGCTCCCTAATAAAAGTCAATAGTATTATCTAATGATAGTAATATAACTTTTACTTCGGCGCCCCACGTTTTTCATCGCTTATAGTAGAGTGATCGCTTGCATTATTGTGATGTATAGCATTTATTTTCTACTTTTTAGTTCGATCAGAAAACGTGGGTTTTTTAAAACATTTTTAATGATTATTATTTAAAGTTCTGATCAGTCGGTCCCCAAAGAGAAGGAACAACAAACATTACGCATTCAGATCTTACAGAGATTACAAAACGCTATTACGTCAGGCAGACCTTCCATCTCATAATCGCTTCATCTTTTTGACTCGCCTCTTTTTTTTCAAACACTCGGAATATGATCTACCTCCCAGCTAATTCAATCGATGTCTGCCAGTCCTAGGACTTTCTAAAGAGATTCTTTCAGTTTTCATCACTGGGGGAGGGAGGGGGCGAGGAAATGAACCTATTCTCAGCACTATTATAAACCGTTCCCGGCTAAATTACCGGCTTTATAAACGGTTTTAATGTAAAAAAAAAATCCAGTGCAGGGAGAGCCGTGTCCCCAATGCTATTCCGGCGTTATTTGGCGTGTATTTGAGGCCGTGATACCCTGTTGACATTTCTGAATTTTTTCCTCAGTTTTTCTTTTAACTCCCTTTCAAATACTACAAGACGGCAAACCCCTTAAAACCAAGTTTCGTGGACTTTGGTGATGCAACAGCTCCCAGGGAAAAAAATATGTTTATGACACGGGATAAACATGGTGGAGCAGATAAGACCTTCAGCGGGCTAGCAAGTATTTGACTCGTGTTATCAATGGGCCAGTTGTAAGCTAATACACAACAAACGTACACAGTTACTTCCCTCCTGTGTAAGGTCAACCAACACTGATGTAGTTTTCAAACACAAACTACACGATTGCTTCTAGAGCTTAACCAAATACCTCATTTTTAACCTTCATAGTTCTATTGTCACACAGATGTAGTTTTCAAACACAAACTACACGATTGCTTCTAGAGCTTAACCAAATACCTCATTTTTAACCTTCATCGTTCTATTGTCACACATCGTCACTCAAAGTCTCATCCCCCCTCCCCCCCCCCCCCCCGAACTTACAAACAAAAAATACCCTTACGTTTTTCATATTTTTTGTGCTGGGATACATCTCTACAAATAGATATGTTACCGACAAAGTGTAAAAACCGGCATTTTATAGAATACCTAGGCAATGTATATAATGCCTGAAATGTCGTCACAGTATGAAATACATCAATATTTCACGCATTTCCTAGTCATTCTATAGAATACCAAACAACAAACAGGTAGAGTTGAGAATAATAGAAAAACATTAAGGGTCAGGACTAGGGATTGGGTTATGGTTAAGTCTAGGGTTAGGTCTAGAGTTAGGTATGGGGTTAGGGTTAGAGCTGGAGATTTTTTTGTAATTCATTTTGTATTTTTTCTTCCATTTCTTTACTGTTTGTTATTTAACCCATATTATCCCAAGGTCTCAAATTTTTATAATTTTTTGATATGGTTTAGCTTTTGGGCACTGAATGAAGGAATGACTATGGATTTTTTTTAAAAATCAATACTTTTTTAAATATCGATTTTTTAAAAAACGTCCCATAAATGGGACGCTAGCAACGAACGGCCCCATGTATATTTATTGAAAAAAAAAATCATTTATCACGAAATATGGCTAATCACACGAAAATTAAGCTGTATACTGATTTTGTATTGTTAGACCAATGATTACATAGTTTAGGACAGCTAAAAATACTGAAAATGATCAATTGGGTTAGCCATACCATGGTCTAAAATGCAGAAATTATGTTCAAAAGTCTAGTTTTCTTTCAATCTAGCATCCATCAAAGTGAAAAACACTTGGAAATAAGTAAAGCTGTGACTAGTACATCTAATTATACACACATGATCACAAATATTGTTATTATTCATCGAAACTGTAATATAATTAAATATAAATAATTGATTTTTTGGGGGCGTACTTGAAATTTTCAGGGGTGGGGACTTAAATTTCAGGGAAAGGGTGGACATTGGTAAAAGTTTGTTTTGTATATAAATTCCATTTTGTTCTGGGGACAGAGCCCCCCCCCCCTCCCTCCTCCGAAATGATGCCCGAAAGAAACTCTGCCCTCAGTGAAGTTGCAAGAGATGATCCGGTCCAGTCCCAGATGTCATCCAGCCATCTTCTCTTTTGTTACCCTCTCTATTACCCCCCTCCCCCCCTCACAGGCGTACATTAGGACATCAGACATCTTATTTCTAGGGCACGGATCCGTCTCGGGGGGCTTGTATTGAGTGTTCATGGCTCTCATCCATGTATGCACCTCACTATGTGAACGGCTCCCAATCTAACACCAGGAATCTCCTTAAAAAGTTAACAAAGTAAAACTAGTATCGGGAACCTTTGGAGGGGAATATTATTGGGGGATGACAACTGTACACAGCTAATTCACATTTCTGCTATATGTAGCTTAAGCTCTCTTATATGAAGAGAGTTAACCAACCCCAATGACTGAATCATTTCACCTAAATCGTTGCCATAGTTATTATTCTGGTTTGTTATAATTTTAATATCACGCGCTAGTAAATTTACAGCAATACTAAATTAGTTTGTATTCAATGGTATTAAATTCTTCAGTAAGTGTAAATCTGAAAACTTAAAAATAAAATGTAAGTTTTTCAATATTTGCAATTTTTAAAGACAATAATATAAGAAAATATAGCTCAAGGTCATAATTAAATATCTATAAATACTACTTAACACCCCAAGGTCAGCAGTTAACAAAGTCAACAATTTTTTCACCATAAATAACCATTTAACATAAATATTTGCTTCTGTGTTTCTCGCTAGTGTCCAAAAAATGTGACGTTTGTGTAACAATCTGCATAATTATAGGTCAAGGTCATAATTAAATATCTATAAATACTACTTAACACCCCAAAGTCAACAGTTAACAAAGTCAACAATTGTTTCACCATAAATAACCATTAAACATAAACATTTGCATCTGTGTTTCTCGCTAGTGTCCAATAAATGTGACGTTTGTGTAACAATCTGCATAAATATAGGTCAAGGTCATAATTAAATATCTATAAATACTACTTAACACCCCAAAGTCAACAGTTAACAAAGTCAACAATTGTTTCACCATAAATAACCATTAAACATAAACATTTGCATCTGTGATTCTCGCTAGTGTCCAATAAATGTGACGTTTGTGTAACAATCTACATGGGGCCATTCGTTGCTAGCGTCCCACTTATGGGACGCTTGTTGTACACTTGATATAACGAAGCAGCAAAAAAAAATTGTTATTCTTAAATTTTTATCAGATAGAAATATGGTACTGCTACAAGTTTCAAATGTATTTTGCACTTAAAATGTTAATATTTTAGAAGATATGCATTTTCCTGTTCGCATGTTTTCTTTTTTCCGCCATTTTGACAAGTCCTGCAAATCCGGCACTATAACATTTTTCTAAATTAATTTTTTTCACAAAACACACACAAATTCAATAGTCTAGCCATTTTCAAATACAATGAAACATAATTTGTGTTTTAACTAGTTTTTAATAAATTTTAGCAATTTTTTTTACAAGCGTCCCATAAGTGGGACGCTAGCAGAATATGGGTTAAAGACTTTTGCAACCTGGTCATTTCACACCACTTTGCATGAGCCGTTCTTGGCGTTCTATTATAAACCTAGGCATTTTAAGTAATGCCTATGAAAAATACATAACACCAATAGTTCATACTTTGCCTAAAAACGACAGGGATTGTATTCATTGCCTAGGCATTCTATACAATGTCTGGTTTTCATACATTGCTGGTAACAGATATAAATCATGGCCCAAAAATATGTCAGCCTCAAACAAAATCTAAACAGAACTCAGTCATTTATAAAAAAATATAAGCTAAGTATCCCCTACCAAACCCAAACATTAACAGCGTAAACATGGGGGCAATTCATCCAAAATAATAGTTGGAGAGTAAAGGGGGGGGGGGGGGGGGGGGGAAGAAATGGCCTTTTAAAGTTATTTTTAGGTTAAGAAGCAAATTAACATTTCCATAATGTTATTCTAGCTTCCATATCTTTTCTAAAGCAGTTTGCAGAGGAGTTTTTGTAAGAATAAATGAATTGTTGACATACACTTCTTTACTAGCACTAACTGCAGAGGTTCAGTGTGTACATGAGGTGGAAGTTTCAGCACAGCTGAGTCAGCTCAATCAGGACAATGCCATGATGCCATGTCAACAATAAATGCTAGAAATTGATTCAGCTCAAGAAAGATTTAGAGAAAAAAATTTCTCAAGCTTGTCTCAAGGTTGCTGAGAAAATAATGCTATCATTAACAGAAATAATTTCAAGATGTTTTTTTAAACATGGGAGAATCCTTTCTTCAGGGCTTTAAGGAATTAGGAGAGATGCAATGACTCTATTTTAGTTTATCTACAGTGAAGGATTGAAAGTTTCAAACTGGGTTATTTGATGTGGTTATACTTTCTTGCAACAAAACAAAAAATGCGTGAAATTTAAACAGGAATCAACAGAACTAATTACTGGCATGCTTGAGATGTTAAAAACCAGAGAAACAAACGAAATTGACTGTACTGAAAAAGAAGGAAATAATGAAGAAAAGTACATGAATTCAATGACCAAAGTGACGTGTCAAATATTGCATGCAGTGAGCTACTCAACAATTATCTACTTACATCAAGTGTTTTTAGCATAACACAGCCTTCGATCAACTTCTCATATCTTTTCCTCTTGTTGAAAGCTGTTTTCAATACAATCCTTCGAAACGTTTGCCTATCCTGGTGATCAAATTAAAAAATTGTTATTATCCTAATAAAAACAGATTTTCTGGCAATAAGCAGTCCTGCTAACGTTCAACTTTACTAGTGACTGTCAGGACATACTGAAGAATAAGATCTGTTCACCCTGTTCTAGTAATGCCATTGGCCCCAGTGTTCTGTCCATGTCATTTAAACTGAATGGCCCAAGTGCCATATATATATTATTTGTTGTGTGGCACAAGTTTTCTGTAAATGTCATATTTGTTGAATGGACCAAGTGTTCTGTAAATGTCATATTTGTTGAATGGACCAAGTGTTCTGTAAATGTCATATTTGTTGAATGGACCAAGTGTTCTGTAAATGTCATATTTGTTGAATGGATCAAGTGTTCTGTAAATGTCATATTTGTTGAATGGACCAAGTGTTCTGTAAATGTCATATTTGTTGAATGGACCAAGTGTTCTGTAAATGTCATATTTGTTGTGTGGCCCAAGTGTTCTGTAAATGTCATATTTGTTGTGCCCCCAAGTGTTCTGTAAATGTCATATTTGTTGAATGGACCAAGTGTTCTGTAAATGTCATATTTGTTGAATGGACCAAGTGTTCTGTAAATGTCATATTTGTTGAATGGACCAAGTGTTCTGTAAATGTCATATTTGTTGTGTGGCCCAAGTGTTCTGTAAATGTCATATTTGTTGTGCCCCCAAGTGTTCTGTAAATGTCATATTTGTTGAATGGACCAAGTGTTCTGTAAATGTCATATTTGTTGTGCACCTAAGTGTTCTGTAAATGTCATATTTGTTGTGTGGCCCAAGTGTTCTGTAAATGTCATGTTTGTTGAATGTGAAGTAATAGATCCTTCAATAAAATGGAACCCAACTCACCAAGCCCCAGACTGTTCCATTGGATGCAGCAACAATAGTGGCTGCTCTGGGCATGTTGTACATAAGGGCAAGCTCTCCAAAGAAGCCTTCATTATTATAATGACCAACCACCTTCTTCTTGTTTTCTTCTCCAACATAGATGTCATACTTGCCACTAAAGATTTTTCAAAGGAATAGCTTGTCATTTATCTTATACTGAAATCAGACTTACCATCAGTAGGTTAATGTTTCACCCAAGTAATTTATGACTGCTATAAATTGGATGGGTTCAAGTACTCTGTAACAAGCTGTTTAACTACAGTGTGATGGATGCTGCTGTTACACTTGTTATGGTGGGAGACTGTTTATGAGAGATTGATGAATGCCATTTTCACAGAGCTATCAAAAACTAGAATTTAAATTTGGAAGATTTCTGATTAGGATAAATCAATAGCTTTAGTCCATAATGGCTGGCCTATACCCTGTGGGTGGTGGGCTTGTGTTAGGTTGGAGTGGGTACCACAAAGTCTGTCAATGGCTCTGCAAGGACCTGAGATCAATAGTACAGGTTCATACAGAAGGTAGGGAGAAACCACAACAGGGGGGGGGGGGAGGAAAGCACCAGACAGGACCAGTTGGGAGACCTAATGAAGCGTACCACAATAAGACACTCCAATCATTTAGGGCTGACTAGAACTTGTTATTAAGTTCAGTATTCAGAAGATCAGAATGCCATTCTTCATATTATGTACACATGTAAGGTCCTTGAACCAAGGATATTAAAAAATGTGTGCACATTATTTTTTTTTCCTTTTTAACTTCAGCTAATGTTGGTTGAAAAAGTTTTCCAATATACAAGTCTCTGTAGCATGTGTAGCCTGTCGGTGACCTTGTCTCTATATAAATGGTCAAGATCAGTTGAAGAAGAGGACACTTTTTCAGATACTTAAGAAAAACTCTTGAGAAACATAAGTATGACTTATCTTGGTTTTAAAATGTGAGTTTCAAAACAAGGCTAGTCCTGGTTAAAATAGATTGTCTGTCTTTGTTTTCATACAATAAATATTACATCAAGCATTAAACTAATATATATCTAAACAACTATAAGCTGCAACTACTTTTGACTATAAACATAAATTTCAATTCCAAAATCTTCCTCCTAAGATACCAAGTTCATATTTACAATTTTCTTCCCCCAAGAAAATACAAGATTCCAAACATATACATGAATAGTGGTTCCATTCAAGTGTGACAACTCATTTCCATCTAAATAGTCTAAATCAATAAATCAATCAATGGGTTAAAAAGAGTTCTTTTGATTATACAAGATCAAGTCTTGGTTCAAGTGCCACAATATTCAAATATTGCTTCTATTCAAGCAATATATTCACAGGGGAATACAAAGCAGTTCAATTAAAAATTGAATAATACACCAGATCTAATTGTAAAATCAATGAACAACTATAAAATAAGTAGAAGAAGTTCTGAAGAAGCAACATATAGAATGATCACATACATATAATGGAATAAATTGAAACATGCCTACAAAAACCAATGTAGAACATACTGTAGTAAGTGCTGATTAGCTAGTACAGTACCACAAGGTCAGAGTCAAGGTTAAACATACATTTTTGGTTCATTTCCCTAGCGGCAACACCAAACTGTCTTAATTGGTGTGTTTACTACTGTATGTTTTATATCACCTATTACAAAATCTAAGAAAGAAAAGATAGCATTTCTAGAAAGTTAAAGATGGCAAACATTTCTGGTTTTGAATTCTACTTGATGTAACCCCAACACTGGGTGTATTCAAAAACTGCATGGGTTTGTATACCATAGAGAGCTGTAGGGATATTTTTAGCAGCCACCAATTAAAATACAGTCAGACAGACAGACAGGCAGACAGACAGATAGGCCAGCAGATAAAGAAGTATACTATGGTTGTACACAGCTACACATTTGTCAAATAGACAAAAGTATGTCAGACTTCACACTTGAGTGATTGTCACTAATGTCATAATTTTAACAACCTTTGATGCACTGGACAACTAGCTACTCAATTACTAGAAAATACGAACAGCTTTTTGACTAAATAAAGCATTTAGAATGCCTCAAAAGAAGCAGAAAAAGGATGTTTGCTAGATTTAATATTATAAAAAGACAATAGTAGGTGTTAAGTGTGCAAAGCTAAATGCCCTGCCATGCTGTTAGTAATTAGGTTATTTCATGTAGCAATGATTATGCAGCCACTCTATGTGATAAGTACTTGAACAAGGCACCAAACTAACAGTTCTCTAATGAGTTGATGATAAACTAGGAAACGACTATAAAAAGGGAACTAACCTATCAATGACATAAAAATTATCACCATCATCTCCTTGTCTAATGATCTCCTGTCCTGGAGTTACCTGTAAAACAAAACCTTATGGTTAGAAAATCTGACACTAAGCCACAGTAGGGCTGAATAGTTTCAGAACCACTGGGGGTGATTTCTATATTGAATGAACAGATTCCTTTGATGTATAGTACTCAGGGAAAACACTCACCTCATTTACACACACACACACACACAGACACACACACATAGACCGACACTAGTAAAGTAATAAAGAAATTGAATTGTCAGAAAAAAAGGGGAAAAAAAAAAACAAGCTTGATGGATTAGTGACCTAAATAAGTCAACAGGGATTTATCTACACAATTTGCTCTACCAACAAAAACAAGTACATTTTTCCTTTCGTGTCAAAATTTGCTTTCAAATAGGGAGTATCATCATGTAATGTCTGTTGTACATATGGTAGTATCAACATATGATGTCTGTTGTACATAAGGTAGTATCAACATGTGATGTCTGTTGTACATAAGGTAGTATCAACATGTGATGTCTGTTGTACATATGGTAGTATCAACATGTGATGTCTGTTGTACATAAGGTAGTATCAACATGTGATGTCTGTTGTACATAAGGTAGTATCAACATGTGATGTATGTTGTACATATGGTAGTATCAACATGCGATGTCTGTTGTACATAAGGTAGTATCAACATGTGATGTCTGTTGTACATAAGGTAGTATCAACATGTGATGTCTGTTGTACATATGGTAGTATCAACATGTGATGTATGTTGTATGTAAGGTAGTATCAACATGTGATGTCTGTTGTACATAAGGTAGTATCAACATGTCCTGTCTGTTGTACATAAGGTAGTATCAACATGTGATGTCTGTTGTACATAAGGTAGTATCAACATGTGATGTCTGTTGTACATAAGGTAGTATCAACATGTGATGTCTGTTGTACATAAGGTAGTATCACCATGTGATGTATGTTGTACATAAGGTAGTATCAACATGTCATGTCTGTTGTACATAAGGTAGTGATCAACATGTCATGTCTGTTGTACATAAGGTAGTATCAACATGTGATGTCTGTTGTACATAAGATAGTATCAACATGTGATTTCTGTTGTACATATGGTAGTATCAACTTGTGATTTCTGTTGTACATATGGTAGTATCAACATGTAGATTGGTGTCAATATTTGATGTCAGTTGTACATAGTATCTTGCTCTAACTTAAACAAGTATTTACTTTCCAGTTTCCAACCATCCAATTATTTTCAGAGAAACTGATCAAATAAGCCCTAGTCTGGTAAACCCTATTTTACTTCCATCATCTTTGTCAATTAAAGGAAAAGTTCATTTTTCAGGGTATCTAACAACCTAAATAGCATCTAAAATCTAGATAAAATTGAGCCAGGTAATTTCCCTGCAGCTAAGATAATTTCAGTCAGCCATGGGCTGCACAAAGACAAACCAAAGCAGTGAGAAGAATCCAATATCTACAGGCTAGAATTAAGTTCCCATCTAGCACCTCGGATCAATTTTATGCAGAGCTACAGATGAAAGAGACCAGGCTTCAGTGACGCTGAGTTCAATAAAACCAGCCTACCATCCAGATTGTTTACTCAAACAAGGCAACCATCTCTGACAGCCAACTTAATTACTGTCATTATTTTATTATTGATTCCCTTTTTTTATATCTTCAGCCATTTGCTGGCTTTATCCTTGTGTTTATCAACCCTACAGACTTGAACTCACTAATACAATTTGCTAGACCATTTGTCTGTTTCTTTTACATCATTTTGCTACTAGGGACTTCAAAGTTGAAGTCAGGAAATTAAATTGTGGAGGACTAAAGGTGGGGAGGGGGTAACTTACTTCTTTCTCAAACATGGCATCTAAAACTTCTTGCATCTGCTCTTGGTCCAGCGAGCGAAATAACAAAATGTTTTTAATGGCATCTTGTAACCTCTTTCTCTGGTCATCTGACTTTGGATGTACCACCTAGACCAGACAAAAATGTATTAGCACATTTGTAAGTTAACAGCTATATTTTTCTTTAGATATGAAATCAGTGCATACATTTAAACAGGCTTGATTTGGGGAAAACACTATTCAATTCAGGCATTTAAAAAACAAAGAAACAAGATCAACAGCATATTTTAACCAAATGGTATGGCATTTGAGAGACTAGTTAAGCTTTGCTCAGAAAAATACATGAAGTATAAAATTTGACCTTTCCTCCTTGTCAGCTTTGAATAAGAGACCCGCCCTTTCCCTGTTACTTTCTAGTCATGATGGTTCAACATGAATTTTTTTTTTAAATCTTCACATACACACAGTGACTTATAGAACTTAGGGGGAAAAAATAATTTACAACAATACATTTTTTTAATTGTAGATCTAGGCCTATAAATTGTATGTTCAGTGCATGATGGCTATTTTTTAAAAATTATATGCTGTGTGCCAAAATCAGAGTAATAGTTCTAAAAGTGTTTTAGTAAACATGAGAAATGAGTATAGTGTACACAAATACTATGCTACTGTACACATGTTGCCAGTGTACTTGTGACAGAGTTCAGTGCAGCAGAGATCCATCGTGTGTACCATGTAGTGTACAAGTAGACAGATGTTACCAGTCGAGTGGTTAAGGAAAAGACAATTTGGCTTCAAGTGGGTCTATAAATTAAGCAGATAGAGTCAAGTAAAAAAAATGAGGTCAGCGTCGTCTCAACACTTGTCACCTAGAGGGAGGGACAGGTGGAATTAATTGGCCAGCCTTGTTGTGACACTAAGATGCTCAGTTTTTTTTTACCACTGACAATGGAATATTTAGGATTAAAACCTAGGCCCCAACATAGCAGTATGGCCACAACTCTGGGACCAGCTATGTATGAACGAGTTTTTGAAAGGTTGCGCGTGTCTCAAGTTCGTCCGTGCAGCGATCACTATTTCTTTACCGAACCCACCCCTCCCTCCCTCCCTCCCAGTTACGTCAAAACGATAAATGACTGTACATGTTTTCTGTACTAAACGTTCACCAACATTAGGATCGCTCACTAGCGCTGATGAGCAGATAATGATGGAGAGTGTGGAGCAAGTCAATTTAGTTGTATAGGTCAATTTCCGCTGAGATTTGAAGCAGGTCATTTTTTTTAAACACGTAGCAGGCCCGTTTTTAACTGAAGCAAACCGGGCGGGGGAAATTCGGTATTGCGATGAGCTCCTATAACGTAAACAGACGGGTGTCGTCAGGAAGTCAACGTCTGGCTTTAATTACTTGCGCAAAGATTCTCCAATTCAAACGACATGTATTTACATTAACTGGTAAACAGATTTTTATAACATTAGAAATAGTTCTTTAAACACGACAGACCAATTAATGTGATCATTATAATAAGAAAAGCAAAGATGGCGATTTAGTTGGAAAGTTGACAGTTCAAAGTAAGCTTAGAGAAATAGCCTTAGTACGTGGTAAATTGCGTCATAGCCGACGAGTTAAATTGATTCTTCTAGTCGAGAAAGAGCTTGGTTGGAACTATTTTCATAAAATTTGTCATTTCACATCTTGAGACATGCCGTTAACAGTCAAAAGGCGAGCGATTGTGTATTTTAACAAGTTGTTAGTTAACAATCAAAAGGCTAGCGATTGTGTATTTGAACAAGCTGTTAGTTAACAGTCAAAAGGCTAGCGTTTGCTTTTTTACTGTTTTGAGATACATGCTTTTGATAAAAACAAAAATAAATAAGTAAATAAATAACGTAATTGATAAGTTGTGGGATTTCAAGAGATCAATAGCTTGTGCCAATATCAATCGCTTTTCTAACAATTCAAAGAAACGGTGCAAGCAAGACAACGAAACCGTCCAAGCAACAATTCTAAACAAAACATCCCTAATTCTCGTAGAGGTTGCCTTATGCTATTAACCTATGAAGAAGACAAAACACGAAACAAAGGAAGAGCTGCCATTACTGATCACTAAGCTGAAAATCGATAGTTCATTTTCTCCGTGAACGTACAGGAAACGAATAGGGTCACATGATTGCACACAATGTAATGTGTCACATGATTCGTACAATCAGATGGCAGTTCGTGTCTTGCAACAAATAGCAAACAAACGCAATGAACAGCTCCAGTTTATCGTGTCAATCGTTACACTCCAGTTTGAAATTGTCTTCATGTTTGGACCCAAGTGTCAACTTCAGATAAATCTTATCGTAAGACAAGCCTCGCTTTGAAAAGATTTATCATTTTATGAGGAATATGAAAACGAAGGAGTCGCTTAGTAACACCCTAAGAGATTACGTTTTTAAATTGTACTTGTGGATTTTATTATTCATGTCAACCTTCTGTTCTAAAATAAATGAAGCGATTGATTAAGAGAATACAGATCTATTTTTTAAATCAATTGCTTCACTTGTATTTCTATCAACAAAAACTTGGGCTGTCTACGAACATTCCAGACCGTTAGTTGTAACACACATATCCTATTTCCTTGACATGACAGAAGAACGTATATCGTATTTTATTACGTCATAATGTGTTGCTACCTTGTATAGAAACCAGCCCACCACTTAGCACTGACAAGGAAATCCCCTACCGTAAATCAGTTTTGCTGCAAAAAGCTGCCCCGTCAAAAATGAAAATAGATCTCAATGTGTTATTTTAAAAATCTACAGCCACCATACAGACTCCAGCATGTGACATCACGGTTTAACTTGTCATGGATTGTCACAAAAAATTGTCCAGCAGTAGCGTCGATAAAGGCCCGATACGTTACACGGCCGTAGAGATAAAACAATTACTGCTTGGTCTATTACAAGCTACGCACAATGTGCTGCACTACAATCTTACTTTGTTCGAACACATTTTATTTCTTGTAATAGGCCAAATGGAAACTTTCGCCTGTAGACCTATGACTTATAGTTACCCTTTTAAACCTGGTGGTCCATGAACTCGACATATGCACAGATAGTGTAGTCAACGGTGACAGGAAAGATGCGCAACGGAAAACTGCGCACAAAAAAAGTGCAAAAGGGCATTTGTATTCTCTAAAACCGAGCATGTATAGACGTTAACAAAGAATAACCACGTGTACAATGTAGCATAATAAAACACTTTTCCACGAACTATTACAAAAGTAAAGAGAATTAGTATCATTAGTTTGTATTTGGGCATTTTTCTGTTTGCGCAGTTTTCCTGGAAACCGTAGACGTCAACAGTATGCCCCAGCCACCTTTACTTTCCTTAACGTAGGTCATGTACAGAGTTTCTTCCAGGCATCTCTTCGGAGGGGCGAAGCCCCCCCCCCCCCCGAAAAAAATTCTCCGCCCCCCCCCCCCCCCCCCCTCATGTACTGGTCATGTACACGTCAGAGCTGGTGGACTCGGTCGTCTTACAGATCCAAGCTCGTCTGATGGTTTCAAATATTGTTCATTCAAAAACATGCGATCTGTAGCGCGGGAAGGGTGAGTTCATCATTATGTTGGGATTACTTTGCTGCAGGTGTTGTTGGTGGGGTTATTATTTGAGGTGGCGATACCAGCTATGCTGCAGTCTGACGACGTTCAAACATGTACCATAATACGAATAGTTACCTCAATATACATCAAGCTTTCAAACCGTATAATCCAATATTTCTAGGACCACCATAACCCCCCACAAACACACATAAACAACGACATAATTTGATACAACAAAAGTATGATTTAAAAGAGTGCATCCGATACAAGAAATATTCCGGCCGAAAAAAATAAAATATGTAAGCCACTAGTCAACTTCAACTATTCTGAATAGCGGAGATATAGCGAAGATAAAAACAAAGCAAAATCAATGTTCTATACCAGGGGTCTCCAAAGTTTTCAGTCCGAGGGCCGCATTAACTATAAAATTTCAGTTCGGGGGCCAGTTTCTTCCAGGCATGTTTTTGATTTTTCTGGGCAAAGTTCCTCAGCCATCAACAACAAACGTTTTTTTCCGTGGACAAAATGATCTCCGCGGGCCGGATGAGAGGACCTCGCGGACCGCATCCGGCCCGCGGGCCGTAGTTTGGAGACCCCTGTTCTATACCACCGAAGTATAACAAAAATGATAAACCATATAAAGTGCGCAGGGTCCAATGGCTAATGCTAAACCCTGTCCTCACAAAATAATGGGATTTAAAAAAAAACTCTGTGTAAAGATACGTTGATAACTACCCTCTAAAACAAAGTCACCTAGTCCCAATATAATTCTCGCATAAATATAAACGAGAGGGTCACGTGCTGTGTTATGGTGAACTCACGCGTTGATGTTTTAAAAAAATACATTCAAATGGTACGACAAAACGTAGCCACCAGTAACCTGTATAAAAGAAATGCCCATTCAATGGTATTTATAAGGGGTAAAGGGAAAGAAGCGATTTGCAAAAAGATAGTGTAAAACGTGTTGCAGATGTCGGGCCGCTGCTTCACTCAAGTAAACAACGCTATTTGTCAAGGCCCTTAAACAGCTCAGCTACGCGCCAAATCGGGGTGAAAAGCCTCGTGTGCCATAGCCTTTCGGAGGTGGGGTTTTTTTTTAGGGGGAGGGGAGAGCAGAGTAAGAATTCGTCTGAGCTTTTTTTTTTTTAAATTACACATTGATTTCAAAGAAAGATATCGTTGTTCAAACACGTGTGTATGTGTTGATTTAGTAATTATTATTCACTTCAACTGAACTTGCTACGTAAACTATTACCAAAGGTTCAGATTCCGATGTTCTCATGAACTAGAGCTGTTTTATAGCACAACGTAATTGTATATCTCTTGGTATCTATTTTAGCACCGAAATACCTCTAGCCATATCCCATGTTATTTGTTAAAGCTAATGCATAGCCCAACGCGTCTTGTCAGACAATAATCAATAGTCAGTAATTCACATCTACAAGGAGTGAAACTACCTAGCTCCGAGGTGTTAAGCACAAATTGTTTCATTTTTTTTCATCAAGTCCCACACATCGATCTTCTAATCTATACTTTATTTGCCAGTGTTTCAAGTTTTGTTAGCAACAGAGGCTGCAGCAGCGTTCTTTAGCAATCGCTAAAAAAAGAGCATGCTCCAAGCGTGGGAATGGTCTACCATAACTAGTAAACAGAGTAACAAAAACTGGCTGTGAGCATTGTTTAAATGTGTTGAGAGAATGTTTCATGTAAGTTGAAAAAGGGTGTTACAGGAAGGTAGAGGGGGGGGGGGGGGGGGTGTTCGGGCAGGTGGGGTGGGTGAGTTAGGGGGGGGGGGGGGGGTAACACCTGTTTGGAATTAAATTGAAATAATTTACCTTAGAGTAGGATTGGTCATCATCAGCTTCTGGGTCATAGCGTTCTGCAGAAACTGAAACAAAATACAACAGGTTAAAAAAAACTTGACAGAGTATAATAAGCTGCCATACTTCATATATACTATTTGCCATTAGTTGAACTATTTCTACTGATAATTATTAATACGAGCCGACCCGATGCGTATCACACGCCCCTATTTAGTTTTATTTTCTACTTTTCAGTAATTCATAACTTGTGAATTCGACAGTACCAATGCTGTCACTGAAAATATTTGCTTTAAAACACTAAAACCCTCCTTCCCCCCCCCGTGAAAGCAGCCTCCTCTTAGTTACCTCCCCTAAGTTTAAAATAGTTTCAAACTAAATTATCTGCCCCTAATAGGCGTCACTAAACCCGGCAAGTAATCTGTTAAATAACTTTAATATCTAAATCAGATAACTAAGGCATGGTTCTGCAGGATGGGTCTAACATAATAAAAAAAAATTCTATATTTCATAACTTACCTGATTTCCTTCTATCACGAGTAGGTGGTGGAGCTGGAATAATGTTGAAAAAAGAATGTGAAAACTACGCATATATACATGTTATATTGTTATAATAGAAAACTTGAATCCAGTAGATATATAACATGTTAACAAAGGTAGTTTAAAACATATCCTATACTATAATTTGGAATGATTTTCAAAATGATGCTCCAAATTATTTTGAACATTCGATTAAAAATTAAATGAAGTAGAAATTTAGATTGTTTCTTTTTCTGGTTTAAATATACAATCTCATTAACCGGAAAAAAATAAGCTAAACAAATTAAGGTATATTTTAAAACCACATATAATAATCTTCTTAGCTCATACAATTTACAAAAGCCTTTTTCATCACACTTTTTATTATCCTAGTTAATTCAATTCTACTTTTAAAAAATAAAAACTTGTTAATACTTTAAAACTTGTAAATGCTGCCAAGAATTTTTTTAAATTTTTAATCAGCCATAAGGTAAGTCAAGAAGTTCACCCACAAATAAGTGAAATAGACACACTATTACCATTCACTGGTGTCATCCCAGTATGTATATAGTTATTAATTACACAACATTATAGTGTGCATGTTTTAACCCCATATTTTATAGTAGTGTCACCATTTCAAAATGTATATAAGGAAATGCTGCAGATAATTGCTTAGTACCCTAATGTCTATCAAAATATCAAAGCATTTGCTCATACTTTTGCTAAATTCTTATGCTTGTAACTAATGTAACTTAAGAAGTTTCTGGCTGTAACAAACAGCTTCTGTGAGTTGTATTTCAATAAGCACAAAATGATCAATCAGAGGGGAAAAGTAACAAAAATGAGTCATAAAATAGCAACTGGGCCAGTAGCACAAACAACAATAATCACAAAACTTAACCATAACCCTGTAGTCTCAGTGTTACATTAGTCATTAAGTATTGAAATATGTTAAATTGACTGCAGGACGCAGCCTATTTTATAGCAGTTATAATATATTAATAATAATAATAGGAATTCAGGTACTATAAACTAAAACAAACTACAAATTAAACATTAATGTTTTGAGAAAAGGACAACACAAGCAACCATTGTATTCCTCCCTCAAACGGCCATTTATCTACTAAATAATGATAATAGGCCTATATATTTAGAAATAAATATTTTTAATAACATTAGTATCAATCTGTGAACCAATTAAGAATCATGAAAAGATCCTAACAAAAGCTGGTTATAATTTTTTGGAAATTAATTTGACATAGATCTAAAGACAAAGATCTAGATGTAGGACTTATATATTTTAAGCTACTATGTTCATTATAGACATAAAATTGATTAGGGTTTCCTAATCACTTTGGTAAGGCAAGAGAACCTATAGGCTTACCAAAAATAATGCAAGTTGTGTTTCAAAAAATATTTTAATTTTTTTTAAAAGATTGGTAGCAAATAAATTTCTCAAAAGTTTCATAAACTAAATCTAGGGCACTATTAGGCCTATATTTTTTGTATTGCTGTTATGCGTATAGATAGGCCATAGTTATAGGCTAACTAATATAACAGATCTAGTATTAAATTTAATTAAATATTGGATCTATAAGCCTATCCAAAATAAATAAGCCCACATTTTGGCAAATTATGATTAGGACTAGATATATTTTATCGCAATTTATAAGACTTAGTTGGGCCTGGAATATATATTATATAGGCCTAGGCCTTATTATTTAGACTAAGAATATATTAGTAATTAAGCATATCATACTCTTTTAATTAATTAAGTAAACATTAGGTTTTAGGCCTTGAAATAAATAACGTAGGGTTAGTTTGGTTCGGGGAATTAGGACCGTATAAGTATAATGACTATAAGTATAATGATATAATCGTATAGGCCCTAAGCCTAATAATTAGGCCTAGACTATCTAATTATTATGAAATTATTGAATTAATTAGGCCCCCTATTCAGTATTTAGATAGGCGGGGCCTATAGATTATAGATTACTAATATTACTATAGATTTATTAATATTAATTAATTATTAGGCCTAACTAGCCAAATTTCAAATTACTTTAACTTTGAAATTAGGCCTGTCCTATGGTTATTAGGCCCCTATAAATTATTATTTAGGCTATTTATTAATTAAAAATAAAAATATTTACGCCTGGGAGGTTCTGGATCATTATCTTCGTCTTCGTTGTTTGAGTCATTTCCGTTATCTTCTATTAGATTAATATCTGACTGAAATCTTATTCCGCCAGCTTTTACGGTTGGATTTTTTTTCTCATTAAGTTTCATAAAATAATCCGATGCGAATGCTTCTAAATTAGAAGGTCGCGCTCTAAGAACTGCAACAGTGAACTCCTGAAGCAAGTCAGTTAATCCGGCAGGAATCTCGAAATTCATTGTTCCACGACCAGAAAATTACACAATATGGATAATTTACGAAGTACCGCTGATTTTACATTGTTTTATCCCGAAACAACGAATGAATAATACATTCAAGTCATAATTGGATAGAATTTTATCTTGTTCCGGTAGTAATACTTAAAACACGGTGGTCTCCATTGAAAACATTTCTTCACAACTTAAAACATTTGACGTCACTAAGGGCAACTCACTACTTATGGAAATTCTTACGCCATTTTTTTTTTAATAATAATGTATTGCTAAATTTAACTTTCTTTTCAATAACGTTTTTTTATTATTTTATTATCTTTAAGTAGTCTATTAACAATAATTTGTGCAATAAGTTAAAAGCGTATGTGTATATAAACGCAAGGGGATATAATAAAATAATTATGTTCAAGGTTCTGTCGGACTATTTTATACATCTATATACAAAACTAATAAATTACTGAGCCAATAGAAAATGTGTAACAAAATTTTTCGATCGAGTGGCTTCGATAGAGGGATGCGGGTTGTACGGGACGACACGGCCTTAGAGATAAAAATGAAATACTGGTTAATGTTTATTTGAAACGACGTATAATGGGCTTTATTATTAACGTAAGTGTTTTGAACCTTAATGGAAATATATAGTCTGTACTGTAAACACGTATGGTAGATGTCGGCTGAAGTTACAAATCTCGGTGTGGAGGTAGCAGAAAATTGTCATGCATCTCCCCGGGGGCGCAGTGCCCCCTGAGCTCGTCCACTCCCTTTTTACGCGGACGAAAAGTACCAAATATAGAGGCGTAATTTATACACAAGACTCGTACATCAACCTCCCTTTCCTAAGAAATTTAAGTCCGCCCCCCTTAAGTTTCAAGTCCCCCGTCTCTACCCCCCCCCCCCCCACCCAGGCCGGAGCAATATCTGGAGAGGGGTGACGGCAGTGGATTAAGGGAGGAGTGAATTGGGTCGCCAAAGACTATATACCGTCATTTACGAACAGCGAACCGTATTATTTCATATTTGAATTAGATAAAGAGTTGTGAAGAAGACAAATGATAATAACGTTTTGATGACCATCTTGCTTAGCGATAACGACATTTAAAACTGTAGTTAGGGAGTCATACATAAATGACGTCACGCTTTTTTTGACGATTTCTACCTCCTCCCCTCCGTCACACATCGACACCATAAGCCAGACCCCCCAAAGATGACGTCACACCTCAGCCTACACCCACCCCCCTCCCTCACTATTGCAGTTGAATTTTTTAAACATCGCTATTTTATCTCAAATCTTTTCTGAACTCTGTCAACAGAGTATTTTAATCAATTTCTTTATAACAATTTATTAAAAACGTTCTCTAAAACGAGAAACAACGGCTAAAAATCGCTTTCTAGCATGGCTTTTTTATAATGCAAAAGTGTGATGTCACACCATCTAACCCCCCCCCCCCCTTTCATCACACACCGTCACTAAATTACTGTATGAGTGTGACGTCATTTATGGACGACCCTTTAGGCCGAACAGAAGGTAAATTCGCGTGAGCAAATTACTGTAAGATGCTACAAGTGACAATTTTTTACGAGCTAATATTTCACTTGCTTCCTATGTCTGTCTCTGTCGTGCATTTGTCTGTCGTCATGGATCGAAACTGGTGAGCGCGATCTCGACCACTTCTAACTGACCAATTTCTCGGAAACTTGGCACCAGATGCCAATGCAATTTGCCATCGAATTTGACTTAATTGGATGCTTAAATAATTTTAAAAGAACGAATTAAAATTTACTTATAAAGTACTATTTACCGTGCTAGTTTACGCGCATTTTTCTTGTACATTTGGTGCGCAATTGTTTTTACTCACGTAACTCTATTGTATTAGAAAATTTAAAGTAATAGAAAACAAATACATTAAAAGGTTTTAATAACAGGCATTAGTGCTATAGTGCACTAAATTGAGAAAATAAATGATTTTTTTAAAACATATAATAATGAACTACTATTTTAAAATAACTAAAAAGAAAAGCGTGGGTCGCTAAATGTATTATTTGTATTGAATACCTTTACTAGAATTTAAAAAGCGACTCCCGCCTTACTTTTTAATTCTTTAATTAGTAGTTTATTATTATATATTTAAAGAAAAAATAAATATTCTCCTTTTTAGTGTATTTTAAAAATAAAACCCAGTTTCAAAAGGTTTTGTTTTATTTTTCATTTTTTGAAAAACCTGCTTCCTCTATCTTTCTTTCCTGCTCTTGTCGGTCAGCATGGATCGAAACTGGCGAGCGAAATTTTAATCACTTCTAACTGACCAATTTCTCTGAAACTCGGCACGTGGGTCAAGACCCTCTGACAATGCAATCTGACATCTAATTTGACTTAATTGGATGCTAAATTATTTTTTTAAAGAAAATTAAAATTTCCAATATAAAATACTATTCACTGCGCTGTTACACGCACATTTTTCGTGTTCATTTGGTGCAAATTGTTTTTAGTCATGCAACTCTACTGTATTAAAAAATTTAAAGTACTGAAAAAAGAAAGAATGAAAAACGGTTTAATAACAAGGTTTTATATAATTATGCACTAAAAGGATTACATAAATTGAAACATAATAATGAAATACTATTGAAATATCTAAAACGTAAGGTGTGGGTAGCTTCTTAAATCTAGTAAAAACATAATATAGCGACCCATCAAGAAATTAGATAGCGTTTAGAAGTGAAGCTTAAACAGAACCAGAGTTTCTTCCAGGCATCTCTTGGGGGGGGGGGGGGGGGGGGCAGAGTAAAAAGTATACTTTTACTAGTGTCCGCCCCCTGTCCGCCCCCCCCCCCCCCCCCCCCCGGAGAAAAAAAGTCTGGAAGAAACACTGAACAGAACGTGTCGACTATTCGCTCGTATTTCTAGCTGTTCTGTCCAATGTACAACATTTCTAAAGTACCAACATTCATGAAAAACCTGCTTTCTGCTTTCACAATTTCTGATTATACATGTATAATTTATTTATAGGCCTATATAGAATATATGTAAACGCCTGTAAAATAAAAAAAATCTACTTTTACCCTTAAACCGAATTGCACTTTCGATATCAATATAATTCAAATATTCTTGATACGATTTAATCTTAATTAATGGTGTAATATAAGTTACACATTTTGAAAAGCTTTAAAATTTATGGGCAAACAAAAAAGGCAGACAGAAAAAAGATAGGAAGACATGATTGATCAGACGTGTTTAACGCCCGGGGAGGAAGGGAGGACGATGGACAAAGGGAACTTGTGGTGCAAGAATGGTCCAATTCTATGTGACATCCAGATAAAATGCTGATTTATAAAACTGAGAGTATAGTCTCTTTTTAGCATGTTCAAAACGTATTTCTTATATCAAAAGATGCGAGTGGGTTCGAACATTGGACTTGAAATACCTTTTAAAAAAGACCTTCTGTTAAGCAACTGCAGGGGAAAGCATTGAGTAGTGCTGTGGTATTGAGTCGGAGTTGGGCAAAGACAACTTATTAGGTATTCTCAACCCGACAACAATTTATCTAACAACTTGCACGAATGACAGAGCAATGGTTCTTGCATGTGACGGACCCCGTAACATCACATTCGAGCAGATACTGTATATCAATGTCAAATCAAATATCAATTTGAAAAATATGTGACAGCTTAGCTACTGGATGTTTTGAAAACTCAGTAGACTTCAGTTAAAAAGTTAAAGTTTTCAAGGTATGTTAAGTGTTCAAGATCGTTTACTAACGAATTTGAATAAAAATCGTTTTTCTTTCACCGTTCCTTTTCTTTCTCGTCTTAGTCTGGATTTATCTGAGCAATTGTATTTTTCAGCTGTCTCGAAGACTTGTATATGCTGATGATACTCATCACTGAAATCCCACATCCAACAGCATATACAAAATATGGTAATATGCAGAGGCGTAGCGAGGGGAGGGGTGACACCATTTAGGGGAGTGACATCACGGCAAAAAATAGTAAAATATATAGAGAAAAAAGATCGAGGGGGGGGGGGGTGCAAATCGAAAGTTGAAAGTTTGTCCCCGAGAAGAGTCGCTACGCCTCTTCTGGGGGGGGGGGGGGTGACACCATTAAGTGCCGCACCGGGTGACACTCGACCTCGCTACGCCACTGGTAATGTGTCAGTCATGTTTTACTTCAAGATAGGTACATTTATTTCACTTTCATTAATTTAGTTAGCCTTTTTATCGCTTTTCTTGTTTGATTAATTTTTATTTCTATAAAAAGGTGCCACTAACCTAAAAATGCTTGTTTTAATTAGTTTTTATTATCCGAAAAAGGTGTCAATGTCCTAAAAATGCTCGCAAATGGAGCAGCAGCTCCCCTGCTCCCCGTGGATACGCCAAAGGTCTAAACAGTATTTATTTTGATGCTATAAAATCGATGTTAAAAAATTTAAATGAGTCTTTAAGCCTTTAAGCTGCGTATGGGACCATTTTCTTAACTTGGACTGTTAATTCAAGAATGCTGTTCAAAATGTTTCTGATCAATTTGTTGTTGCAGTTTGTTTTTTTTGTTTGTTTTTTTGTGATCAATGATCACAGTTTAAAGATTAACGATTAAAAGTTAAAAAGGAATTGAAGTACCGCCCATTTCTCTGCAAGTGCCACTGATTGTATGTGCAGAGCGAGGTACCTTGATATCTCGACAAGACTTTTGGTGACAGTAGGTACAGTACGTTGTTACACCTAGCTCAACTATACATCCATTTTTCAGAAATACAGAATGTAATGTTAACGAGGACCAACTCAAGTTCTTAATCTGATTGTATATAAAACAGGCAGAAACACTGACACTTCTGGGTAAATTGAAGAATTTTGAAACTAAAACAATAAACTTTTTGACTGCCCTCCTCCCCCCTCCCCTAACACCAACATCAAAAACACTCTACAACCAATAGTGATCTTTACCTGAGCCGTCACCTCTAACTTTTTTATCTGGAAATAAATATTTAACTTTCTTCAAAAGCATGTCATTTTTTATGCATGTATAACTTAAGACATGTGATAATTGTCAAATTGCATCGATTTTAAAGTCAAGCACGTGTTTGCAGTTAGACAACGATTTATTTTTAAAAGCAACAACATTATTTGGAAACAATCGTTGAGAGACATACGAGTCAATGTAATAAAAGTGCATATCCCCCCTTCCCCCCCCCCCCCATTGTTTAAAGACCTCAACAAA